GGAGGAGCCAGTCCTTGGAAAAGAAGATCATGCATGGAAGGGGGGAAGTGAGGAAGACCCTGGCTGAGATGGATTGATACGGTAACTGGGGCAATGGGGATAGATAGGTTGGTGTGTCAGAGTCAATGAAGTTGGTTCAAGAGAGGGCAGAGATCAGAAGCTATTGTCCGTGGGACTACTGTGAGTTGCAAGTGACTAGATGGTGCATAACTACAAACAACAGTGTGAAAGCAGTCATCAGTAATTCACACGCAGACAGGTACCACTGTGGTTCACATTCATTTATGAAAACGGGCCCCGTTCATATTTGTCTTGATTTCTTGATGCTCTATTTAGAATGCCATAAAGCCATCATCAAGTTCTGGACCTCTCACATCCTTTGGCTGAAATTCTCCTTATTGTTGGTATCTTTGCTCTTTAATGTATCTCTAATCTTACGACTAAGCAAATCCTCATACAAATGCCCTGCTGTTGAGACCATTCTGACTTACAGCAAACCTCCAGCGGGTTTCTGAGGCTGTAAGTCTCAATGAGAAAAGACCGTTCTTTTTTCTCCTGTGGAGCCTTGATAGATTTGAACCCTGAGTATGACAGAATTCTAATTAGCAGCAAAGCACACACTAGGCTCTGATACCAGGGCCCCTAAACAGAATGTCTCAAAATCTGGATGAAGCATCAGGTCAGGAGATAAGTTAGGTAGCAACTTAATATTACCATGACTATTTAGGAGTCCTTCTCAAAATACACTTTGTTGAGTAAAGTGTTATTTAAAACATGGTTTTTAAAATAAGCCAGTGTTTTCCAGAGCCAAGCTGCTCGAGTTTTGTTGGGAAAGAAGAAATTCTTTCCAATTCCTGGAAACACTTTGCAAAAACGCCACACAGTGATGGCTTCGTATTTATGAGTGATTGTTTTCTTTTTACCTTCTTGCAATGAAGTGAACTTAAGTTCACTGCTCTACTGAGTTGAAGCTCACCTCTCTCACAGTCCAACATCTTTTTCTTATATGTGTTCGAAGATATACTTTCTTTTAAATTTTTTTTATTTTAATGAAAGTTTACAGAGACTTTGGCTTTCCATTTGTTCTTTGTTGCACACTTTCCTCCCTGTCCAACCCTCCCTCCTCCCCATTTTACTTTTCTCTTTGAAAAGTAAAAAAAACAAAAAAGCAAAAAAAAAAACCCAACAAAAAACCCACACACAAAAAAACCAAAACAACAAACAAAAACAAAAACTTTCATTGTTATACAATCCCCCCCTCACAAGTCCACTCCACTATGCAACGTTCATTCTAGACTCTTGTCAGGACAATAATACCTAATCATATATTCTTCCGAAACAGTTCTTTCCTTCATCTGTTTCAATGAAGTAAACATTATTTATCCCCTCTTAGTTTCCCTCCAATGCCGAAATCAGACCTTTTTAAAACAATGGCTTTATGCAGTATTTGTCCTTTTGAGACTGAGATATTTCACTTAGCATAATGTCCTCCAGGGTCATCCATTTTGTATAATATTTCATTAGTTCCATATTTTTCTATGCTGCATAATATTTCATTGTGTGAATACGCCAAAGCTTCTCTAGCCATTCATTTGTTGATGGGCACTTTGGTTTTTTTCCATCTCTTTGCTATTGTGAACAAAGCCACAATAAACATGAGTGTGACTATATCTGCTTAGGTGGCAGTTATGGTTTCTTTAGGGTATATTCCCAGGAGTGGAATTGCTAGGTCAAATAGTATTTCTATTTGCAACTCTTTGAGAAAGTGCCATACAGCCTTCCATAATGGTTGCACCATTTTACACTCCCACCAACAGGGCATAAGGGTTCCAGTTTCTCCACAACCTCGCCAGCATTTGATATTTGCTGTTCTGTTAAATTTTGTTATTCCCACGGGTGTGAGATGATATCTCATAGTTGTTTTGATTTTCATCTCTCTTAGAGCTATGGATTTTGAAATTTCTTCATGTGTCTGTTTGCCATCTGAATGTCTCCTTTGGTGAAGTGTCTGTTCATATCCTGTGCCCATTTTTCAGTTGGGTTGTTTACCTTCATCTTCTTGTGGTGCTTGATATTTTATAAATTCTAGATGTAAGTCCCTTATCTGACATGTCATTACCAAATATGTTTTCCCAGTCTGTGTCTTCCCTTTTAATCCTGTTGGAGAAGGTTTTGGAAGTACGTAGGGATTTTATTCTAGAAGGTCCCATTCATCTATTTTATCCTCTCCTGGTCGTAGGTTTTCCAGGATGCTTAGAAGACTGTTTATGTTGTGGATTAGGGCTTCTAGAGTTTTTCTGAGCTTTGCTCTAATGAAGTTTATAGTCCTTGGTTTTAGTCCTAGGTCCTTGATCCACTTTGAGTTGGTTTTTGTGTATGGAGTGAGGTGTGGCTCTTGCTTGAATTTTCTACAGATAGTTTTCCAATTTTGCCAGCACCATTTGTTTAAAAAAGGCTGTCATTTCCCCACTTAACTGATTTCATCCCTTTGTCAAAAATAAGTTGGCCGCAGGTATATAGGCTGATTTTTGGTTTCTCAATTCTATTCCATTGATCTATGTGTCTGTCATTGAACCAGTTCCACACTGTCTTGACCACCATGGCAGTGTAGTAGAATTTGAAATCAGGGAGTGAGATGCCTCCTACTTTGTTTCCCTTTTTAAGGAGTGCTTTGCTTATTGGGGGCCTTTTTCCATTTCAAACGAAACTGCAGATTGCCTTTTCCATTTCATTGAAGAATGGAATTGGTATTTGTGCTGGGATTGCATTGAATATGTATAAATTGCCTTTGGTAGTATTGCCATTTTCACAATATTGAGCCTTCTTATCCATGAGCACGGGATATCCTTCCTCTTCTCCAGCTCACTTTTTGTCTCTTGTTATAGTGTTTTGCATTTTCTTTTTAATTCCAATTCCTACTGTCCTCATTGTGCGGTGCTGGTCGGTCTCTGTGCAGCGTGAAAGTCTCTTTGGTGGCCCATCTGTGCACAGATGCACATAGGGTAAGCACATGAGGAAACACACATGGGCCTGGAGGAGGGACACACAAGTAGACATGTGGGGGAGGGGTATGGGGACCTGAATGGAAAACCAGGAAGCCTTCATTTTCCCCTCCAGAACTGTGTCTGCCACCCCAGTCAAACTCCAGCTGTCTCACTCCCTCTTGCTTAAGGTGAAGGAGTCTCACAATTGGTCCAGCAACCATCAGTGATCTCTCCTTAAGTACCTAACTCAAATTCTTGCTGTCCTACTTGCTCTTGGAGGGTGGGTCCAGTCGGGACTCACTGCTCCTGACTGAGGCTCACAGCTTCCCCCCGAGGCACAATGCTCCCTACGGAGTCATGCTGCCCAAACTGATTATTTTAATAATAGTTCTTGCTTGAACTATTGTCCAGAGCGTTCACTCTGGCTCCGCTCGCTCTGCCTCACAGTCCAAAGTCTAATCCTCCTCTTTACTCTCTCTCTGTCTCCTTCTTCCCCTACACACCCCCAGGATGCCTAGAAATGTGGGGAAATACTGTTCAAAACGGAAAAGTGATTTTCAACTTTGTATCTACATTTTCCTGGACTTGATTAAGGAACTGATTTTCAGTGTGGGAACTACCATGCTTGACTGTGTGGATCAGGTTGAAATGAACGGAACTGCAGGTGCATTTAACCCTTCATTTTTTACGTCGCTTCTGCGATACAATCCAGTAAGCTGCCATCGATTCAGAACTGACTCATAACTGACCGTCAAGCAATTTTCAGAAGCTGTAAATTACATAAGAGGAGACTGTCCATCTTTATTTTACAGAGCAGCTGGTGGATTCAAGCTGCCTGACTTTGGGTTGGCAGTGCAACTCCTTACCTACTAGGCCACCAGAGATCTCTGTCACATCTAGGGATGTGAATTGTAGGACATTTGATTGGGTTTGACATAGAATCTTACCCACCTAGGTGCTCTCCTGCTGTTATTGAAACCTGTTTTGCCAGGTTAATTACAAAGTGGGTTCATGTCTGCGTCACAGGATTTATATATGTTATTGATGCTAGTTGTCATGGGATGACGCTGACTCACAGTGACCTTATGTGGACCAGAACAAAACTGCCTGTTTCCTCTTTATGATTAATGGTTTCTTTGAGCCCACTGCTATATTAACTCCTGCCACCTTTTCCCACATTCCTCTTTACATTCTCAATTATATTTGTTTACTCTATACTTCTAATGGTATTTTTGCACTGTATCTTTCAATGAGCTGCCTCTGAGTATTCCAAGTGAATACAAACACGAAAGTCATGTAAGTAGTAGGTCTCTTAGCAAGGAAAGACTGATGGTTGGATAATTGATCAGACACAGAGGAAATGCTGTCCTCAGAGTAATCAGGGGTGAGTGAGTTCATCTGCCTTTTATTTTTTCCCTTCTGGAAAGGAGCTTTCAGGCACAGTTTAAGGGATTACAACACAGGTTTCACGATGGCAGAGGTCTTGCCCATCAGGGCATGGAATCAGTCTTGCCACTTTGTGTGTGTTCAACTGATGTTTATTTTTTAATACCTGGGTATGCTTAGCTGTTATTTGCTTTTGTGTTCATCATGACAAGGTCTGCATGAGGAACTTTGCATGGGGAAGAAGCAGATTTCCTAAGGAGAAAGCACTTTAACATTAGGTATGAGTGACACCATTTACCCACCTTGACGCATGCAATTGGAGAACTTATAATTCAAATTCCTTCATAGGAATATCGATTGAAATTAGGTCAGTGGGAGGCCTACTACCTACTTACAGGCCAGATAGTAAACTTCAAAGTTATTCCCAACAAGGTCCCTATTAATTTTCACTTTGGTTCTAAACAGAGAAAACTCGCTTTTGTCCACATCTCAAGGAATAGCTGCCTGCTGCTGGGTAAAATGCAAAAGATAAGTTATGTTTGCCTTCGATCTTCGTATCTCCGAGTGGGTTTCTAAGTTCTGCAAAAGAGTGCAAAAACGTCACTGCTAACATTTAATTTAGTCACATACCTGAGAACATCATCATGTGCTGGAAATTCCAAGGGATCTTTTGCTTTCGGCCCAGATTCAGGAGGAAGGAGAGAGGATATATATTGAGGGCTCTGGCCACAAAAATTGCTAGCTGTACACAAGCACAGGGAAATGTTAAGGAAACTGTAGCTGAAATAAAATAAAAGCCGTTAAGCTTAAAATCCATCTATATATTATGACCCAGCAAGGAAGAATAAACATGTCAATCCATAGATGCCCAATATACTTCCACAATTCACACTATGATATCACTTCTTTTCCAGACATAATAGAGAACTCGGTTTTTCATTGAATATCTATTTGGTTTAAAATTGTTAACTCAACACCATTTCAATCACTGTACATTTTCTCATCGCATTTATATTGCTGGTAACTGACTCAATCCACAATCGCGCTGTAAAATGTGAGGCAGAAACCATTCAGATGATGTGGCATTATCGTCTCAAGCAGCACTTCAGGAAGGATAAATGTACTTCTGCCTCTTGATTGTCATCTTATTTTCCATCCGTTTATGCTCTCTGTACCTCGCCCGTTTTACCTTTTCCTTTCAGTGGATTTAATTTTGAGGGGAATTGCCTGTCTAAATGTATAATACAGCCACTCCTTTAAGAAGCATTTTACTAAATTCTAAATTTTACCAGTAAAGATCGGTAAAAGTATTGTCAGTATTCATCTCTCCCTTTTTGTCATCTTTGATCTCTTTTTTGTTAGTCTATTAGCTTAGACTGTCTAGTTTGTCCACAAAATGGGATGGAGGTTTTTAAATTTTTTTTGTTTTGGGGGAGGAAGTAAAGGGAAAGAGGGCTTCCTTTTGAGAGCCAGACTTTGGCTAACACTTGAGAGTTTAGCTGAGTGTTCATTGGATAGAGAGGGAGAGGCAAATGCAGGTATTTAGTTGGAAAAGGACTTTCAGAAATAATCAAGTTCTCTAGATTGTTCTGACCATCTGCCCACCATCTGAGGAACTGTCTGCCCATTTTTCAAGTGAGAAGAAAGGCAACAGTTCCTGTGGATCTATTGACGCCTCCCTAGTGGTTCAATATTCCTTCAGGACGACATCTATATTCCCATGAGGAATGATTTCTTCCCAGACTGGAGCTAGAAGAATCTTCTGAATTATAAGCATGGTCTAGGATTTTATCCGGCTGCTCCTTACAGAAAAGGTGCTACCTTATTAAAATGACTTTCTATGGCTTAGTGCTTATAATATTAAAAACATATCACCATGCTAATTTTAATTAATCTTTATTCTGTCTACCCTCTTTTCAAAGAATTCCTTAGAGAGGAAAACAAAGGTTTTACCATCTCCAATGAAAACATGGCCAAAGTTCAAGAATCCTGGTTTTCAGGAGCATTTTATGCCATTCTGTAATGTATACTAAATTCATTTCTCTATGCTGAATGAATTGACATCATTTTGTCATGAGAATGGTTCATAATTTTATTTCAACCTCTCTTGAATTCTTGAAAGATGTTGCTACATTTTAGTTTATTCTTTTTTATTTCGCCAAATGCTTTCTCAAGGTCTTCTCTTAAGCCATAAGCGTGTTTCAAAGGCTCCAGTTTCTTTTTGGGGTTTAGCGAGAAATTACCCAGCCACTTTGATGTTAAGCCTTATAGTAAAGCTGAGGAAATGACTTGCACAACTGAATGGGAAAGAGTAAGCTGCGTATCCCCTCCCCACTAAGCACCCCACACGCTTTATTCCAAAGGATACAAAGGCTCCAAGTATAAAAAGAGCATTGAAGTTGTGATTCTGGAAGGTGAACAGTGCCAGGCCCATGTAACAGAAGATGACATTCTCAGCCAAAAAGTTCATAAACTCAAACAACTGAAAACAAAACGGGAGTAAAATCTGTTAATTAGGATTCAGATTACAGTCCCCTTGATTTCTTTCCACTCTCTTCCTGATTGGTTCCCCATTCTCTAAGGAGACCCCCCCCCCTTGCAGCCTAGGACTCAGCCTCTGGAGGGCGCAGGGGCCTTGCCTCTTCAGCAGGTCACCTGGCCGCTATGGTTCTTCACCTGTGACAGATGCTACAGTCATGTCAACACCCCATTCTTCCCAACTGCAAGGCTGTCAAAGATACCCCTGCATAGTATGAATCCACACAATCCCTCTTGGAACAATATCTACTAAGATGACAAAATATCCCTGTTAAAGAAATTGAAGCAAAGTAATTTACTTAAGGTGTACTGTCATAAAAAAAAAAAAAAATACAAAACTAGTGTAACTCTTTTGCATCGCACTTACCAGATGTAATTAAGTCTCCAGACAATGAAGAAATGAATCAATTAATTAAAAAGCTTTGACTGAATTATTTTAGGTAGACAGGAAGGAAAAACTTGGAATGAGGATGAATTTGGATTATGTTTTAACATTAGAAAAATCCCTATAATTCAAAGCTCATGCACCGAAACTCATTACATTGACTGATGTAGGTAGATTCATTTAATGTCTACAATTTCTAGCTGGCAAAAAGAAAATGATTAACCCCAGGAATAAGCTTATGGAGCACAATAGATACAGTCACATATAGTCAGACGAATGGAATAATAATAGGCTACGCTGAGGGAGGCTCCCAAAAGTTATTCTTGGGCCATTAACCAAACAATGTAAGTTGAACATGAAAAACATCCTCTGTCTTTCAGGTTAAATGTACAAAAATAAAATCATCCAGAGACTACAATGAAAGCAGATGTGGAAGAGATTTGGTTTTATTATCCAACTTTTTCATCGAAGTCCATGAAACGTCATTCCTGGACTTATATAAGTCTCCAAGTTGGGTAAATGTCTCTGGAGGCATTTTGCTTGACTTTTCAGGCACTCAGTTTTTTCAAGTAATGTATTTACAATCTTACAAATAATGTCCAATGTCAGTTCACTAACAGTTGATAGAAAGAAAAGCAGAACTTTGTCAGAAACATTATTTAAAACCAGTACCAGAAGGAAAGGATTTTTAAAAAAACTAGAGCTCTTCAGGTATAAAACAGTCTTTCTGCTGTGACAGTGACCATTAATTATCCTGAGCATTTGTCTCATCTTTTTTTCAGGCCAGATAATAAAATCAAATATTGTCCCTTATGTCAGCAAACAGAATGTGAGAATAAGGGGGAGATTTGGGGATTGGGAACATTTTCCTGCATCCTTCTATCTTCCTGGCTATCCAGTCGTTAGTATCATTATATCAGACTTGACTTCCTAGTCTTTAGCATTAAATGAACAAATATCAAGATTAAATCCATTTCTCCCATCCTCATCCTAACTATATTTTACCCTAGAGTGACCAGGTGTGCCAAAGAGGATCTCTTTACTCAGTCTTTTCTTGGGAAGCTCTGGTGGCTTAGTGGTAAAGACTCATACTGACAGCACAAAGGTACAAGGTTCGAATCCACTGGCTGCTCCACTGGAAAAAGATGGGCAGTCTCCTCCCATGTGATGTATTGCCTCCGAAAACCCACTGGAGGGTCAGCAATGGGTCAGTTCCAACTGAATGGAACATAATAACAAGAGTCCCTTCTTAGTGGTCACACTCCACTTTCCCTTTGGTGTTTAATCTTCTCTTCATTCTTAGCTCATAAGTTAAATCTTATATAGATCTTATGTACAACAGAGTAAATATTGTCTGATCCTATACCATCCTCACAATTACTGCTTTTCTTGAGCCCATTGTTGAAGTGTCAACCTTCCTCATTGCCTTTCTCTTTTTCTTTGACCCTCCACTAAACATGATTACCTCCTCCAGAGACCGACCCTTCCTGACATTATAGTCATAGTATAAGCCATGAAATACGTGTCTAAGGAGCCTTCGAGTTGTACCTCTTCCAAGACAGTTTTGTTCTTTCTTCTAAGAGTCCATTATATAGTCACTACTCTTTGCCAATACAGTTCATTCAAAGGCATTAGTAATTCTTTGGTTTCCCTTACTTATCCAGCTTTTGTGCACATATGAGGCAACTGCAAATACCTCAAACAAGCAAAATTATATCTTTACCTGTTTAACTCTTTAAAGATTATTTTCATATAGATGTTATACTTTCATTTTTATTTCTTTTTTGTTTGCACAAAAGTTTACAGATTATAGTGGTTTTCTTTTTTTCCCATTCAATCTCATATACATTTTCTTTCCTAGTGCTACCCCATTGGTGGCTAGTGGGTAAGGAATTGCACCGCTAATCCATCAACTGCTCAGCAGGAGAAAGATGAGCAATCTGCTTACGTGCGATTTATAGCCTCTGAAAATCCACGGCAGGGTCAGTTGTGAGGTAGTTGTGACTCAACAGCATGTAGTAACAACCTACAGCATAAATAAACTACCAAACAGAATGAGCAGAAAAGACACCAACAGTCGAGGATAAACTCAACAACTGAAAAATTAAAAACTTCTAAAACAAAAAAAAAAAATCTTAATATCCATATGAAGACCACTCCACACAAACAAAACGGCCTATAGACTGGGGGGAAAACAAACAAACAAACAAACAAACAAAACCAAAACCATTTGTCAATGGTACATTTGACAAAAGCTTAATCTCTAAAATTTATGGAACACCACAACACTTCAGCAAGGAAAAGATGAACAATTCAATCACAAAATCGGAAGAGAACATAAAATTATATTTCCTCAAAGAATACATTCAGATGGCCAACCAACACGTGAAGAAAGCCTCAAGATAATTTTGTGAGATGGAGTTTCATCATCTTTGCCTCTAAGGTTTTACTCACTGGTTTTACTTTCTTTGGGGCAGACCTATTCGTCTGTTGACAGTTCATGGGTGTTTAATACTCTTCTCCAGCACCAGCTCAAGTGCATTTATTTTTCTGTCATTCTTAATCATCGTCCAGCTTTCAGATGTATAGCAAGTACTTGAGAAGACCGTGGCTTATACCAACATGTCTTCCTTTCTTTTAAACACTCCTTTGCCTTCTTCATGTATGAAGCCATCTCACAATTCATCTGGTCCTTGATCATTAGTGTTCAGTGCATCAAGTTTATTCTAAAGATAGCCTCTAAATGCAAGTGAGAGATACTTGATTCTATAACATGATCCTTGTCATTTGTTTGATTTTCTTAGTTTCAAATTGAACTTGCATAAGAGGAATTGATGATTTATTCCACAGTTGGTACCTGGCCTTGTTCTGACTGATGATATTGAGTTTTTAAATCATCTCTTTTCACAAATATAGTCTATGTGATTTCTGTCTATTCCATCTGATGTAATCTATATGTGTAGTTTGGTGGAGCTCCCAGGTTAAGACAGGATTGGAAGCAGGAGTGGCATCCACTTCCTAAACAAAGTGCCTCTGGAAATTCTATGGACTTTGATAAATGATGATAGTTATAGAAAGCCTTCAGTCTTTTGTTCATAGGATCACTATGAGTCATCCTTGACTCAATGGCAATCAACAATGACAATTACTATTTATGTTTTTTAAAACGGTGTTTCCTATGAGCAAACCTTCCAAACTTCTGTCATGAAAGCTCTGGCATCGTCTCCATCACCAAGCTCACATTTCCCACATATTTATCCTTCTTTGTTTCCAACCTTCACACTCCCAAACACCAAGAATTCTCAGTGCATCTTTGGTTGTGTAATTGATCAATCGCAGACTGCAGAAGTTGATAAACATTAACAATTTCTTCATCTTTGGCATTAGAAATTTTTGTGTAAATTTGAGTAATTTTAGTATTGACTAGTCTTACTGGTTGGTGTATGGATATCATCTTATCACTGACAGTTTATACTTAAGGATAGATCTTGAAGTGCTCTTTTGGTTGATGATTTTGACACTATTATTCTTTAATTTGTCATTTTAAGAACAGAATAACATATAATTCTTTGATTCAAAATGGCCAATCTCAATCCATGTTAGCTTAATAGCACCTATTGTTAGGTATTGTCAAGTTGATTGTGACTCACAGCTGCCCAATATGGGACAGACTGAAATGTGGCCTGATCATGTATTAGCCTCAACATGTTTGTGTTCCTCAAGTCTATTGTTGCAATTGCTCATTGAAGGTCTTGCTCTCACAGGCTATTTACTTTTCCAGTAATTATGACGTTCTTCAGGAACTAGCCCCTCCTGAGAACTTGCCCAAAACATGTGAGATAATGTCTAACCATCCTTGACTCTAGGAAACATCCTGGCTCCACTTTTTGCAACACAAATTTGTCTGTTCTTTTGAAACTGCATGGTTTATTCAATGCTATTTACCACCTCCACAATTGAAAGACATTGAAAGCCAATTCTTCATTCTTCTTTATTCATTTTCCAGCTTCCATATGCATGTTGTTGTTGTTAAGTGCTGTCGCATCATAGGTGACTCATAGCGACCCTCTGAACGAAAGACCTGAACACTTGTAGAACTTTCATCGTTTCTCCAAGATGATAGGGGTTTCGGAGGGAAGCTGTTTCAGAAGTGGATGCCTGCTTCCAAGCTTGTTACAATTGGAGAGCTCCACCAAACACTGTCCACCATTATCACATTTGACACATCAGTGTCACAGTGTTCAGCTTCACAGCAATCACAAGTTACCTCTGTACAGCAAGTACACAAGCATAGGAAGCAATAAGAAAATACCATGATTTGGGTCAGGTACACTTTAATCTTTTTTTTTTTTTTAATTTAGTATTTTTTTTTTTTAGACTTTGGTCTTTAAAGTGATATTCTTACTCCTTATTTAAAGAAGTCCTTGAGAAGAGAGTTGGAGTATGCAGTCATTTTTTCCCTCCAATCATCTTATTAACTGCTGCTACCATCAGTGTTATATGTGAATCAAAGTAAATAGAAACCATTGACAACTATTGTTGTTTCTGTTATGTACCAT